AAGTGCTTTTATAGAGTTTTGTCCAAATTACGTACTATGGAAGATCTTATTGGATTCAGACCAAAATAGAGTTTAGGTTTATTGAAATAAGTATTCAGCAGATGGAAAAATATTTCTGATAGATATGTCGTACAAAATTCATTTGTATGAACCGGTATGGCTTACCCAGTAGATCGACTGTTTACGTAAAAAACTAGGGGGGTTAGCTCCAGGCAGGGACAGGGATCATCACATCTAGACTGGTTGTGGGGCCCACCCAGCCTTCTATCCAGAGCCTAACCATTTCCAAATTGTAAATCAGGTTGTATATGTGCTGAAGTTTATCTCAACTCCCCCTACGTCTTCATGGCTTAGCCCTTAAGAACGCTGGCAAATTTACGTTAACTCTGTTCATACTAACATAACCGTCACAGTGGAATTCAAAATTTTTGTACATAATCACACGAATGTTTGTGACACGCTCCTCACCTCTGGTTAGTTATAATGCAGTTAAAATTTGGCCCTCTCCTGATCCACGTCTTACCCGTAAATCCACGCTTTGTGTTAAAGAAGTGTGAACATTTTTTTTTTTCTGTTTTCAAATTAGGGCGGTTACACGATCGCGCAAATTATGATATACGATTCATATTGGTCTTTAAATAGCTTTTCGTGTAATTAAGGTAAATTATTTTATCATTAACAGCTGTTTACACACACATGAAGACAAGCTGTCAGTTTAACTGAGGTGAAATAACTGGAGGTCATTTATTTATGACGTATTTCATCCTTCCACGGGAGTTCTGCGTCCCTGAGTGTCTACTCATTCGTAACCTCGGCATTAGATGGGGGTGAGTGGTTAGCATCACACCCCGTCCGAGCTTTACCCCCGGGAAAGGATCCCGGTACCCATTGGATAGGAGGATGGGTGGGCCTCAGAGCCGGTCTGGACGCAGAGGCTAGAGGAAAAATCCTCTGCCCCGGTCGGGGATCGAACCCCGGTCGTCCAGTTAATTTTATTGTTGTATTTATTAAATATATATTTATATAATTTTTACATATGTAACTGATATATAGTAAAGCCTCCTCTAACGCGAGTTTAGACTGTATGCTGTCTGCCACACGAAATATTCCACTGCTGTTTAAAAAGCTAAAGACGGGTTTAGCTTTAGCTTACGTATTTGTGTAATCAACTCGGCAGACTTGAGAGCGCAAATATTCAGCTTAAAAGTCTTCGCGTGATTAATTCCTCCTGCGTCTTCCACCCCCTCTTCGTCTTGTTATACAAACTGAATGTAACCCACGATCTCAGTCTCACTTAACGCTGTTACCGTGCTAATTTAAATCGTATTGTTTTACCGTATTTTAATATTTATGTTATTGCCCATGGATGCCATTATGGAATCGAAACGTAAATGTAAAAGTTATCACAAAGCAGAGAAAAGTTGCAAGGTTATGATAGTACATGAGAAAATAAATATTCTAGATAAATTGCGTTAGGAATGAGCAGAGCAGTAGTTCGGCCTAACATTTCGTTTATATTTTATTTTAAAGCCTGACTTTCCGTTGGTGCTTTAATGCGTATTTCCCCGAAAAATATTATACACTTTGTTTATAAATAAATATTACGGTATAATTAAGATTCTTTTGTTTATTTGCTCTGCCGAAAGCACCGCGTTGGACGAGGGTTTTCTATAGTTTATTACAAGAAGGAGGATTAAATGGACGGGTCATATAACAGGCATTGGCGAAATGCTTACAGAATTTTAATATTTCTGAAGGAAAAAGGTTATTTTGGAGATGGTAGGGTAATGTTAAAATGGATCTTTAAAAAATAGGATATATGGATTGATGTGACTCAGGACTGTTTTGGATACGGTAATGAACATCCGGGTTCTATAAAAGGCGGAGAATTTTTGACCAGCTGAGCTACAATTAGATTCTGAAAATGGATTGTGTACCGTGGAGCTAGTTATGGACTTCACTCATCCGTCAGCGCAGGAAGAAGCAAGCGGGTGTGTTATGTGACACATTTTACACAGAAGCATGTTTGGTTGCCACCCATCCAGGCGACATAATTATGTTTCAGTGATGAAATACAATCAATGTTGCCGCCATATGAGGGTTTGATAGGCTCAGGGGGAAATAACGAACGAAACAGGTCCTTTGTTCTGATTCTTAGAATTATCAAAAGACAAGAGCAGAGTGACCGGATCCATCTAGTACCGAGGTCAAGAGTAAGTGGAGTTATACCTCCATTACCCCATAGGCCTACGTCTTCTTGGCGTAGTGCTTAGTACCAGGGACAGCTTTACCCTTGCTTTATCAAAATCAATAGTATACACTGTAGAAGAAAAGCCAAGTGCTTGAAATTTTTAAGTCCCAAACCAGAAATGATGTAAATGCACAGCTGACGTCATAATTCCAGGCATTCGTAATCTTGTATTTGTCCGTATTTAGCTTTTCTCTGCTTTTTATTAACTACAATTATTCGTTCCAGATATATATTAAGCAACGATACCAACATGTCTGCCTAATTTGAAGAAAAACGTGAATTGGTGGTAATGAATTTTCTGAAGGTTGTATTTCGATGTTGGCCTTGTTTACTCTCGTGGGCGAGTTCTATTGTTGGGGGTTAATGTTGAAGTGAGTTCGGATCCCAGTGCCTGCATTTTTTTCTTTGTGCATATAACAATTAAAATGTGTATTTTTGTATTATTTAACTACATATATTTCAAAATTTTATTTTGGAATCGTGATATTTAAAAGAGACTACTTAATTGTTGGTTCTCGGTAAATCACACGCAGTGCAGTAACTTCTCGTTAACGACTCGCAGGTAATTGTCAGTATTATCACTTACATTATCACTGCATTATGCGTGCCGCGTTGGAGAAGCTAGAAGTGCGAGAGAGGAGAGCATTCTTTCACTTTTCCGTGATCTGCTGTTCATTGGCATTCTATCTTAAATTTTTCCTATTTGAGTCTGACTGGAAACAGGCAATTTTTATCTCTCGAAACATTCTAGAAGCATTTTCGTTTTGTAAATTACACCTATTAATTATACAAAACGTTATTTAGTGTAATAGACCTTAAAATTTATATTTTAAGGCCTGACATCGTTAGTAATATGTTCATAATTCCCGATCCTCAACCATGAATCTCATATTCGTTTTGGAATTGACTCAATTATAAATCGAACACAACTTTGAGACGATCAACATTCGCTGTTCATTAATTTCATAGGTTACTTTTCGTATGTCTGACGTGTTATTTGAGTTGGACATTAGTAGGCCTACGGTTCATTTATGTAACTGAGATTTGAAGGTTTTCGTAGAGTGTACTTTGATAGACCCTTCTGTGTATCTCGTTTGAAACTTCAGTGGTTAGTTATAACCCTTAGTGTGAAGAAGGGGTTTGCTTTAACATCGCTTTGTATCATTGATTCATTATGAGTTATCATCCATACGTAGCGGTCGCTTGTCTTCGTTGTTGGGATTGGATTTCTCATAAAGATGCTGGAATACTCCATCATATAGAAAAGCATCTAGACGGCCTTCAATATAAGCGAATCTTAAAACACGTAATGGTGTCATCTGTAAGAATGGTTTATTTCGATGGAGTAATCCAGTTCCAGATAGACCATTCTCCATTCACGATTTTCGTGTTGTTCAAGATTGGCTGTCGAAATCTTTTACTAGCTTCCACGAACACTTAATACGAACCCCATCGAGAATAGTGAGACGAAAAACCCATGCGAGGAACCTGGCCTAATCTCCCTCCGACAAACAGAGATGCTGCTCTGAGCCTTCTGGCAGATGCTTGGGATTAAGTTGCTTCATAGCGGCTTTATGTGCGATCTCTAATTCAGTCCATGTGGAGACGATTAAGATCTGTGTACGAGGTTCGCGGATTCTGGACATCTTATTAAATATGCCAGGCCTTAGAAACTTCCGTTTTACCGGGTAACATATTAACTAATGTTTTATAAACGTAACGTACGCTTTAATAATATTTTATTAGTACTTTTATGAACACAACATAATCGTTGAAAGGGAATACAATTTAGAAATCGGGATAAGAACTCACGAACGCAAACTTAATTTGAACACTTGTCTTGCGTACGGTAGAACACGACCAACTGAAAGAAATGTAGCCTTCAGCTTTGCGTTCTCACCAGAATTAGTCACGCGACTCAGAAAAGTAATTAATATTAATTATCGTTTTTCTTAAAATTAGGCAGACATGTAGGAGTTGTTGTTTAACAAACATGTGCCGTAAATCACTGCAATTAATGAAAGGAAGAGAAAATTCAAATATGGACAAGTATGAAGAGTTCAAAAATGATGAAATTTTGACGCCAGCTGTACGCTTACATCATTTCCGGTTTGCGACTTAGAAAATTTCAAGCTCCTGAGGTTTCTTTGTGCAGAATGTACGAGATCTTCAAGAATTTCGAAATTACCAATTGTCTTCTAAAACGATCTAGGTTTGTTTGGTCGCTATTGTGATTGGTGGGAACTGTATATTTGGCTCTCTCTTCAACCAACACACGAATTCGGCGTATAACGAAGAACGAGTGGACGTTCATGCTTAACTTTATGACCGAGCTCCAATTGATATTCTGTATCTGCAACTTTCAATTAGTATCAGATTTAAATCCCGACCGGAACTACTTAACCATGATTACCGTTTATCACAGAGTTCCCCACTTACGACCTAATTCTGGGATAAAGCCTTGATACAGGATGTACACGTCACTTCCTGATCCTTTATAACACTTCATTCCATTCAAATAATCACTGTAGCCAAAGACCACGATGACAAACGCGAACCAGATCAGGTGTACCTCACGAGCGGCGTCTATACCAGCAGAAAGGCACGGAATTTGCATTTCGGTGTGGATGAGAACAAACATCAGGGAAACCTGAACATTAGCAATTGGGCATATCGCGTTATTTACTCTGATTTGGTTTAGTTACACAGTCAGTTCGTCATGAGCCAATCTTACATCTTGACTGTGGGAAGTATTTCGTTGTTGAAGTTCATTCTCAGAATCAAGACGTCGGAAAAGAAAGATATTTGTCCAGATTAAAGTTACAACTTCCGCCTAAAACTTCTACGCCTAGTGCACGCACTTTATAACAACTGTTTACATGAAGATTACAAAAGTCTTTACTAAAACTGCTGTACACAGTAAAAAAACAAATGTCTCTAGTTGGTTAATGCACAACATACATTAATGGAGCACTATACTTTCCCATAGCAGACGCTTTAAAGACCAACACAAGGGGCTTTAATACGTTTGTTTTCGAGACTGCGTAACATAAATTTCGAAGGCATTAAGCATTTATCTTGTGTGTGTGAATTCGAAGGTCTGATTACGAATTCTGAACTTGGGTTGTGATCCAGAGACCTTGCGATTGAAAGTCAGACATGTTTAATTATGTATCCACGACAAGCATTAAACTGTAATTAATCCACATAATACAAATTTAAGTTTAGTATGCCTGTTTGGAGTTTAAAATGTTTCTTTCTAAAGTAAAACCGGGCATACTAGGATTGGAATTTATAAAACTTCCGGTTTTTAATTTATGAAGACAACAAAACTTCTTACGAAAAAGAGCAATCCTATGAAAAACCTTAGGCGAAATTGGCCAGCCTGCGAAGGCATTTCGGAAGTTTTGCAATTAAAATAACGTGACTAACTCAAAAGAGAATCCCTTTTCCGCAAACGGAAATTTTGTTCATCCCTGCGCAATGTGTCGTAATAATTTAATATAACAGTTAAGTTACTTGTTCATAAGATACAATGGCTGTGTTTAACCTGGACGTGCAGTGTAAGCAGTCTTATCAGAGAAGCGATTACATTCCATTTATCAACCTAGAGATAACAACTTGCTTTGTTTCGCGAGCGTTCATTGAATTTGTTTAGTCTGGCACAGAGACTGATTCTTATTCGGCTGGGAAATCCCGGCTTTCATAACCGTGTTCACAGAACCCACCACAGACTGTATTCCTAGCCGTTGAACCCATTTCACATTTCCTTACTTTATTTCTGTAAAATATGTATGAATCATATCTTTTAATCTTTGCCATCATTGTCATTAGTGAGCAGACCAAACACGACGGGTGGAACCATTAGTCACGTGACTTCAATGCATGTGGCACCATGATCGAGTTTTTTTAGTGGATTCTTTGAACCATTTCAGACGATAATAGCCTGCAATGGAAGAGATCACATCCACTTCCTCCTCTGTCCTACCCAGTTCAGACCTTTCAGCTCATTCGATACCAAACTGTCTCTCAAATTCACAGAGCTTCGTTAAATAACCAAAGATCCACAATTGTAGACTGGGTGGCGTATGGAATCAATTACTCAAGACTTTAGACTCAACTATTTTGTCTTCATTAATCAAAGCAGAATGTGGGTTTAATGACAACGAATACAGGATGAAACATCACGTACACGCGACACGGAACGAAAGCTTCAGGTCATGTGTACTGCATTCCGTGGAAATAACATGTTTTGCGACATTACTGTCGAAGAGATGCTGTCTAGTCTTATCTGTCTGGTCAGAAGTTACGTTCTGAGAGAGTCATCCTTGTCGCTGTGACATTTCGCATTTGTGGAATTTAAAAGTGTTCCCAGGTTGAGTACGTTTCGGAGACGAGAGTTGTTAGTTTACTTGATTACCTAAATAAAATGTTTGTTCACCTGTTTAAACATTTAACAAATTGAAGAATACTGATAAAGCTTTTCTTATATACGTGTCTAGTCATTTGTGACAAGTCTGTACAGCCTTCAGATTCGGAACTGAATAGTAACGAACATTTAATCATATTCTTATTGTGATCATGCATGTTACCCTTTCTCCGGGACAAAGATGCCAGAACATGAAACTTATCACCAGTCTCCGTCTAGTTCAGATGTTAAAAATTCTTGGAGTTACTGAACCATTCGTCGTGACGTAGTGCTTAAGACAGAACGTGGCCTTCTGGGTCGTGACACCACAAGATACAGACTCGTAGGCGGTTACTAACGCTTCGGGGTAACAAACCGCCTCTCGGATCGTCCAGGAAGACCACAATCGATATCTTCGCCACCCAGAAATTCAAATCAACTTTGCATTTTTACTGTCTTTTTTTTTTAATTACGTGAACTTTGCCATATTTTCATATACGAGGTGCGATCAGAAAGTTTCAAGACTGCGCCTATAAAAACCCGTACACTTATCTCAGGTATTAAATTCATCTATCACCCTCGAAGTAGTTCCCCCTGGGAGTGAACACAACGATCCCAGCGCCGCTGCCAAGCCTGGAAGCATCCCTGTAAATCTTTCTTTGTCAGCCTGTCAAGCACCATCTGCGATTCTGCCTGAATCTCTTCTATCGTCTCAAATCTCCTTCCCTTTAGCTGAATTTTCATCTTGGGGAAGAGGGAGAAGTCACACGGAGCTTAGAAAG